AAGGAGGTATTCACGGAACACTTGGCAAGGCTTCTTGGCCACCAAAATGTACGCCCTAACTCTCAATCAACCTCCGAGTGCCATCCACATTTGAACGAAACACCCCACCACCCCCACCACGGGCAAAACCACCACTTTAAGGCACATTCTGCAAACGAGCGCTAAGGGTGCTGCATATCACTTGGGGTCCAGAGATGTGTTGACTGTCCGGGTGGTATGGGCCTGTGTGGGTGTTAATTTACAACTCCGGGGTTCTTTATCGAGACACGCCTGTGGGGGAAACGGGGCACAACTATGATACCTTCACCCTCTACTATCAGCGCCTCACAGCGCAGCTCGAAGCCGTGCCTGCAAATGCAGTATCCCTGGCTACAACACAGTATCTCGGCTGTTCAAAGCTGCCTCATACCCGACGGGTGACAAACCTGGACTTGTCCGGCATTCTCTCAACGACTGGAGTTTGGTCACAACGTTGACAATGGACAGCCAGAGTTAGAAGGAGACAGATACACAGCTCGGTCGCCTGTACGCAGTGTAATTTGGTTACCAGGCACTGCTCATAGTCAGGTCCTTCGGTAGAGTTCCACCTACTGACACAACATCGTCGACGTGGCACCATGTCACCTTGCACAGCACCCATGTCGATGGCTAGGCGTCCTGCATCGAAGGCCACCCCCGCCTTGGAATATTCCATGATCCCCCCTCCCCTCGGTCTACTGTCAACTTGCCTTGTCCCAGACCTCTGGCAGCTTGCAGGCTTTTGAGTTCAGATGATCTTGGTCCACGCGGTTGCCATTGGCCATCAGAGGTCGTTCAGAGCCCCTGCCTGAGCTCTCTTCTGCCCCCACCCCCGGCTTGGGCGTTCAACTCTGTTCCTCAGTGGTGGGATGGTATGCAGTTGATGAGCAAGGAACTGTGTGGCTGCGTATGCTCCAATGAATCGATGCCAGGAGCGGCTCGTGATCTCGTCATTCGTGCGAATACAGTTCTAGGCTCCCGAACAAAGGCAGCATCCACTTCATATTTGCCCTTGGATGAGCCATTTCCGCACCTGCTGCAGCTCCTACCCCAAGGATTATAGTTATTGACGCTACCAGACTGTGATCATATGCCCGACTGTTGCGCCTTCGTTGTGGTTTGAGCCGTCGTTTAGTCCCGATCCTAGGTCCATCAACCTCTCAAAGCTCGCACTCGGATTCCGGCCACCTCAACTCATACCCCGATACCGTCTTCAGCACTTCCTCGTCGCCGGGGTCGTTCTCGAAGAGCTTCTTCTCCATCTTGCGGTCGATCACCTGCTCCACCAGGAAACCCTTCTCCCTAGCCGCATCGAAGAACACGAGGTCCTTGTGGCGCAGCCACGGCCTGTAGGAAGTGAAAAAGACGTATGCCCTGCTTTCCTTTTTCTTGGACAGTGTCATATCGATCGTCTTCACCAGCGTCTTGTGCTCTGAGTGCCGGAACAGCAGGTCTGCGAGGATGAGGACATCGAACTTGGCCTCGGGCTCAGGCAACTCGGCGAGCAACGGCGCCGGATCGGCGCCCCAGACGTAGCCCTTGGCCACAACCTCGTCGGCGCCCTCGCAGACGTCAATATTCTTCTGCATCGTCTGTACTATGTCGACATCGTGGTAGTCAGACATGACGACGCGACGCGCGCCGAGGAGGCCGGCGGTGAGGGACGGCAGCCCGGCGCCAGCGCCAATCTCGAGGACGGTGCGCGAGGCTACCCTTGCTGGGAGGGCCTCGAAGTAGTCGGAGACGACGCGAGAGCCGTTCCAGAGGGGGGGGGCCTCCGTCGCGCTGTAGCCCGACGAGGGTGAAGCGTCAGGGTGCGGCCCGGAGGCGAGGGTTGTGTGTGACGAAGGTTGGGGGCGGGGGGGGGTGGGTAGGAATTCTTCTGGTTCCGCGAAAAATGTTCGCCCCCCGTCGCCCCTCGTTGTCGGAAGGGCATAGGGGGCAGGGGCCCTCTGGAAATAGGTGACGTTGATGTTTGATGAAGAAAATCCTGATGGCCGAGGTCGTTGGGGGGGGAAATTTTTCAAAGTTTTGGTGGGGGGCTGGGGAGGCCCTTCG